ATTTATATCTCAAAGTCTTAACAAAAGGGAGATGCATAGGGAAAAAACAGATTGAATGCTCTTAGAGTGTTTTTTAATGAAAATAAAGGTTGATAGAAAAAAAAATTAGGATTTATAAGAGAGAGTACAAAAGATAATTTGAGACTGAGTTTAAATTAACCCAAGATATTTATTCTCTGTATTTTATTATTCTCATATGATAAAAAAATTTATATTTTTTTTATGAATATAAATAAGAAGTGCCGAATCATATAAATTTTGTATGAGCTATTTTGAATTTATATTTTATTATTAATAATTTATTAAGTTATTTTTTTAATATTAAGGACGTCAAGAAGGATCTATCATCGCTGAAGAAAAGGAAGCCCCTTCTTCTCTTCCTTGCCTCCGAGGGATCTCTAACTTCTCCACGGAAGGCCAACCGGAATGAATGATCATCTTGAAATATTTGTAATAATTTAAATTTGATTAAAATTAGATTAAGTGTTTAAGTTAGATTAAAAATTTATGTTTAATTAGAAGTAGAAAACTATTGATCTGAGGTTATAAATAAGAAAACATTCTGCCGAGAGCAACTTTAGAGTAAATAAAGCTTTTTTTGTTTCTTTTTTATCTTCTCTCTTCTCAATCTCTGCTTTTTTCGTCAAAAGATTTCTTCTTCCCAACAGTTCATACATCAATACTGGAGAATTTATGCATACTCTCACCACCGCAGGAAAAGTACAATACTTCGATAGGGATCGTCAACAGAGATTTTTGTCACCTCATCGAAATGCATCCTTCATTCACGAGTGTATTGGTTCAAAGATTTAGCTGACTTGACTGACTTTTCTTTATCCATATGTCCTTTTCAGAGTTTTCTTCATGTGTCGTATTGATCAATATGATAGTAAGAGAAGTGAATTAGTAATTTCTTAAAAGTCTCAACGATTTAAAAATTCTTCTTGTTCGATAAAATTGTGGTTTAATCGTCGTGATCTATGTCTAGATTCCTCTTCCGTTGAGGCCATCGGCATCTACTAACAGTCTTCCTTTAATGGGTGAAGATCAACTACCATTTTACACTCTTTCTCATTTTCATAAATTTAGGAGACAATCCTTACAAGCCTCACACCTCTCTTAAATTATCTCAAAACTAGAAAGCAAGGAGGAGAACTTCAACAATTTTACAACCCATAATAATAACCCATTTTCTACTTTAATTCGTGCTCTTTCATGCAAGAATAGTTGGAGTATTTATAGACCCAAAATGATTGTAAAATTAGAGCTAAAAAAGGTTTTATCCCGGGTTTCCTAAGTCCTGACGATACCACCGCTTGTGTTTGGTGGTACCATTGCCCAATCTGATGGTACCATCGTCCAGACTAGCAGTACCACTGCCCAGACTAACGGTACCACCGCCTAATACTAGGCGATACCATCGCCTAGACTAGTAGTACTATCACCCATACTGGCGATACCACCACCCAATTTGATGGTACTACCACCTAACACAGTCTCAGAGAATGTATCTTTGAGATTGAGCCTTTAGCAGTGCCATGGCTTTTATCGGTGGTGCCACCGTCTGACCCAACGTTTAGGTTACTGAATGAGCCTTTCTCTTAACCCAAAATAACTCCAATTCTAGCCTAATTTGACGGTACCACCGTCTAACATAGTCTGGGAGACTATGTTTGGGCAGTATCACCGCTTGACACTGGGTGGTACCACCACCCAATTTATTGGTACTATCGCTTGACACAATATCAGAGATTGTGTTTTGGAGGTTGAACCTCTAACGGTGCCACTACCTAGCCCAATATTTGGGTCACTGAATGGACCTTTCTCTTAGTCCAAAAATAATCCCAATTCGGGCCCAATTGGCTTAATTACATTCTAAACTAACTCAATTACAACTAAAATTATTTCAATGTAGACAATTATTACAAAATATTAATCATATGTTGTTCGATATGTCATTGGTTTATCGGTGCTTCGTCCAATCTTTCGGCGCATCGTCCTCTTTTACGGCCTTTTGCCCAATCGGCATGTTGACCTCCGTAACTCTGATCTTTTTGGCGCAACGTTTGCTCTTCTAGGCCCGATGCCCGAACTCATAGCACGAAACCTTCTACCGACACGTCGACCGATCCTTTGACTCGACGTCTAATGTTATGACATGTTCCACTCCGACTCAATATTGATTCTTCGTGTCTCTTCTTGATCTAAAGCTAGTCCTACGTCATTCAAAATGTAGATTAGATTATAACATTATCAATTGGTTTCATCATTATCAGATTCCACACAAAATAAGAAAGAAAGTAAAAAAAAGGGAAAAATAGAAACTAAAGAAGATTTGGAATTCTCACTTTCACAAATTCTAATATGTCTCATTTACTAGTTTTCACAAATTCTAATATGTCTCATTTACTAGTTTGAGATTTTTTATTTATATAAATAGTGACAAAATATAAGAAAATCTGTTGGTTCAATTTCACATATGGATGTATTTTTATGTTAAAAATTATAAATATATTATGATATTTCTTAATAATTTAAGTTTATAAGATTATTGATTACCTAATAAAATATTTTATCTCACCCAGAATTTTGGTGATTATTTCCGAACACCAACATGGAGCAGCATCTCCGAATATGGAAAACGAAGAGAAAGGAAGAAGAGACACTTGCAAACAATATATCATGGAGCGATGGGACGTTTAAAAGCAAAGAAACGAGCAAATCGGATGACTCAAAATAGGATGGTCTGAATAGTAGTTGGTATGGACTGGTCGGGAAACATTAAATTGGCAAAATATATGCAATTGTTTGTTTAAAATGTGCTGAATTATGCATGCAAATAAATAATCATGCTGTCAGGCTTTGAAATAATTCTGAAAGCTCGGGAGACAGTAAGAAGTGCTCTTTGCTGGATTACCACCATGGGGATGAATCAGCTTGCAGTCTGGTCCTAAAGTTCCAGTCCATTACGAACCAAAGCTGACAAGAACATCATCAGATCATCATGGAGGAACCAATTCCTCTGGTGTTCGATTTGCATGTTGCAATGAAATGAATCAAACAAGTGCAGATAGCATAGCTTTTTCCCCCCTGCAGCAGCAGAGGATCACCTTATCTTGCTGATAAAGCTTTAGATTGACTGGCTGACCTTTTGCTTTCCAGATTGTCACTGTGCCTCATCATCTACATCACAAAACAAATTAAAAGGAAAATAAAAGGAAAACGGAACCAGAAAGTTCTTTTGTACATAATCATATTCCATATGTTTTGCTCATGCCTGTGACTGCATTAGATTTTAGACAGCTTCAGAGCTCCAGGAATCATATACTCGGCCATTCTCTCATGATAAAAGCAAACCTGTGAAAGGAAAGCACCAAAAAATAGGCAGCAAAGCCAATTTACATCTCCTTGGGATCACCTTTAATGATATGGTCAGGGACCTTTTAGACACAGGTATGATCTCTTCATATGGGTCATGAGAATCCTTCTACTTTTCTGGAAAACAAGCAGTGCAGATGCAATAACAAATTTGAACTCTGATCAAGTTCTCTAGTGCATTACCACTCATAGCTTTCTTGCATCAGAGAGTCATGTCACATAATGATCACTTGGGAATTTGATGCAAGTATCTGCATGCAAAGGAATGAACATGTAAATAATACATGCTTAAAGTATCAGATACATTAATGCTACAGTATCAGGAGAGGCAATGTGATTGTGACACTTGAATGCTAGTTGTTGTTTGCATGGAACCATTAATAAAACCTGAACTAACTGTACATGTCAAGTGTTCTTCCTGTCAGGTGTTTCAGCAGTCATTTACTCTCTGAAACGTGCATTTGCTCCTTGTTGTCTCCATCATTACTGAATTGTTCTACTTAGATTTCATGTGTTTTCAAGATCTTACCTTTAATTAATCTAGAGCTTTCTTTACACTACAGCAACTTAATAGGAAGTCTCTGCTTGATGTTTAGTTTCCTAATTACATTTAGTGCAATTGCTTTCATGTCACACATCACATGATTTCTCAGTAGGGAACAGAGGATTTGACCTAAATGTAGGACCTCATGCATCTGAGTTCTTCATGAACACTTGAGATTTATTATCACATTTTTGAGTCACTATCATTTCATCTAAAACATTAAGTATATAATGAAAAATTTTGTATCGGTTAATATTCTTAACATTTTCTCCTCTCTTATTGTCCAACAATATGTTGATGTCAAGAAATTCGCTCGAGATTGATCATTTTTTTCTCTAATGTATCGTAAATCTTTCCTTGTGATACCATCTTAAATTATTAATCGAGCTTCATAATATCCAAAAATTTAACAAGATTAACTAAGAATTATACAGAGAAAACAAAAAAAAAAACATCTCCTGAGAGTGTTATGATAAATTAGTCAAAATAGTGGCTATAAATAAGGAGCACAGAAGAACAACTGCTACAGAGCCTCTATTATTGATCTTATAACATGTTATAAGATTTGACTGTAACCCTAAAGACCAGAAAGTGCATGTGGGAAGTGGAAGCACTTGATTGAGCCACAAGCATCATTCATTTTTGTATGCATATGGGTGATGGAGGATGAAATATCATATGCATATGAGTGATTGTGTCGGCAATGAGCTACACTCGGGTCAACAATTTTGTTAGGTCAATGTTTCCATGCATACGGGCAGTATTGTGGCACATGAAACCTGTCGAAGCCCACTAAAAGGCTAACTCACAGAAACACAGAGTGAGGAGAACTCACTCAAATTCACTCAAGCTCACTCGAGCTCGCCCAAATGAAATGGACGATCGAGGATGGACGTGATCACTGATGAACGGTTGAGATGAGAAACGGTGGGGGATGGACGGCTGAGATGGAGAATCGGCCCCGTTCGAGCTTGAGACGATGAACGCACCGGCATTTTAAGCCGCATTGATGACGACAAGAACTACACAACGGCTATCGCCGTCGCCTCCTCTTCCTTCCTCGCTCCTCATCTTTCCAAGATCCAAATCTTCAATTGGCAACTAATAGGAATCATCAAGAAGCCGACCATGGTCTTAAGATATTAGCTCTTCGGTAGACCACTGCACATGAGTACCCCACCCGTAATCTAATATCTGATGAGGATCCAAGACACAAGTCCACTGCATTATGAGCTGCTTCCTCCATGCACGTAGCCTCAGTAAATCCACCACGCCACCGCACTGCTTCTTCCTCTTTACCGTAGACTCGTACTTCTCTACTCAGGCACAGCCAGCGTAGACAAACACGTTGCGCTGAGAACATGCCATAAACAAAGCACTCCCCGCGGCCCTGTCTTCTTCCCCCTTCTATCTTCCCTTCTCTTTGTTGGCTTCTTTTCAGGGCGAGGTAAACCACAATCGCGTCACCTTCTCCCTCCACAATGCCATCAACACCCTCCGCTGCATCATCATCATCACCGGAAGTAGCAGCAGCAGCAGCAGCAGCTGTAGCTCCTTTTTCCGTCCGCAACAGAAGGGCACTGCACGTGCCTTTCTTCCCTCTTCCTTCCCCTCCTCCGGCTGAGTCGCTCCCCAAGTATCCCTCCTCCTCCTCCACCCCCTTCTTCCCTTTCTACCCCTCCACTCCGCCGCCGCCGCCTCCCCCGCAGCCCACCTTCCCTGCCAACATATCCTCCCTCACCTTCCCCGGCTCCCGCTCCGCCCCTCCCCACCGCCACAGCTCCGTGGTCGTCGCCGCCGTCCTCCTCCCCCTCCTCGCCCTCGGCCTTCTCGCCGCAGCGGGCGTCGCGTTCCTCCTCCACCGCCGCCGGCGCCTCCTCCCCGATCCCTACTCCGACAAGGACGACGCCCGTTCAGACTCCCACCGTCTGTTCCCCGACGACTCCGCCGCGTCCGACCGCGGACCCGAGGCGCCCCCCTCCGTCGCAGCGTTCTCCGACTTCATCTACCTCGGCACCCCCGCGGACGCTCGCCGCGACGACTACGGCAAAGATGCCGGCCGCCCCGCCGCGGACCCGATGGACGGATCGTCCGAGCGGAAGATGGGCTCCCCTGAGCTCCGTCCTCTCCCGCCGCTGCCGCGGCAGTTCCGGCATGGGCACGGGAATGGGGAGACGGGGACCTCGTCGGAGGAGGAGTTCTATTCGCCGCGGTTGTCCTCGGCAGGGAGGGGAAGCCCTGGGAGGGGGATTGGCGGGCAAATGTCGAGCCCCCGGCGGACGTTCCCGGCGGCGTTGGACAATTGTGGGTCTCGGAGCTCGACGATGAGCACGCCATCGTACCCAACCTCGATCATGGCCTCGTCTCCTCAATCATCACCGGTGGCTTCGTCGCCGCGCGTGGGATCAAGCCCCGGCCATTCCTTCGGCGGATCTTTGAAGTCCAGATCTGAAAGGAACTTGACCGGAAGTCTCGTGTTCGCACCTCCACCGCCTCCACCACCACCTCCCCCGCCGCCTCCCCTTCGGCCTCTAACACCTTCACCTCCAAAGCGGAAACCCCCTTCGCCTTCGCCACCGTCCTTCCCAGTGGAGAAAGAATTCGAAGGAAGGGCGGAAGCTTCTGATCTCGCAGGACCGACTCCGGAGTCCCCGATGACGCCTGGGCACTTCTCTCGTAATCCATTCGTCGTTCGTACTCCGCCGGCGCCACCGCCACCGCCTCCTCCCCCACCACCACTGGTTGGGTACTGGGAGAGCCGGATTCGGAAGCCGCCAGTTATTTTGCCGCACAAGCAAGTAGGAGTCAAGAATTCCTCAGCATCGGTTTACCCCGCAGATTCGAGGGGGAATTCAGATGAGATGGAGAAGAACGAGGAAACCCGTCGCCGAAAGTTGAAGCCTTTACACTGGGATAAGGTCCAGGCGAGATCCAACCGAGCGATGGTGTGGGATCAGCTACAATCTAGCTCCTTCCAGTGAGATCCTTGAACATGGTTTTGTGTTCTTCACCATAGCATTTCTCTTTGAATGGCCTTTTTCATTGAATGCTAGTTGATGAATCTACAGGGTGAATGAGGAAATGATTGAGACTCTGTTTGTTTCCAATGCAACCGATGCCAAACCGAAGGAGACCAACAAGCAACAGCTACTTCCTTCGCAGACACAGGCGAACGACAAGGTGCTTGATCCGAAGAAGTCTCAGAACATTGCTATTCTACTGAGAGCATTAAATGTGACCAACGAGGAAGTGTGTGAAGCCCTACTGGAAGGTGAAATCTTTTTACCTCAAGTTCAATTTGGTCTATGCATTTGCTGTCTTTGAGTGGAGTAAAACTTCCATTTCCAATGCTTTTTCTTGGTTCATTGTTGAAGTTCAAGTAGTAGTAAGCTAGCAGGGTGGTTCTTTCATGTTGTTCCTCCATTAGTATTTGAGTCTATGTGCTAAAAACTTCCAATTTATTATTTTTCATTGATCATAACATGATGCTTAGTACTGAAAATGTAGAACAGTCTATATGAATTCATGCATACAACTCATCCACAGCCAGAGAGCAATGATTTAAGATGAGTGAAATTCTCCTAAGAAGTGATCCTGAAGTTCTCATTTTTGAGATCTTCCATTCCTTCCCGATATCAGCTTACAGATCTGGCTCTTCACTTTAGAGGCTTTTGATCCCAAAAATATCCTGTATGTGATCATTTTATTAAATATTTAAATATCAAATAATTCTACAAAGCATCTTCATACAATTATCGGTGTCCAAACTCCAACGGGTACCTCCTATTAATGGAGTCCCTGCTATGAATGGAGCAAGCAATTTGAATTGTTTGTCTCATAGTATGTATCTTCCTTTACGGTCGTCTGACCATTATAAATGTGTTTGTGTACTGATACAAAATATTCAGAGTTATCATTCAAATAGCTTGCAACCAGAATTTGAGGAAGCTCTCTGTCGCTTGTCCGTTGTGATATTTCATGACACTTTTTTCCATTATTTTCTAACGATGATTGCTGAAAGCAGGTAATGCTGATAGCTTAGGAACTGAACTGCTGGAGACCTTGCTAAAGATGGCTCCTAGCAAGGAAGAAGAACATAAATTGAAAGACTATAAGAATGATTCGCCATTCAAGCTTGGCACGGCAGAGAAGTTTCTTAAAGCATTGCTAGATATACCATTTGCATTTAAAAGAGTTGACGCAATGCTGTACGTAGCCAATTTTGATTCAGAGGTCAATTTCCTCAACAAGTCCTTTGAAACTCTTGAGGTAAATGCTTAACCTTTACTAGTTGTTTCTTTATCTACAATAATGTTGTTGCTGCCAGATATTAATACGATAAATTCGATCAATGTGATTGATGGAACATCGGTAAAATCTGAACATGAATTTTGTTTTCCATTATAAGGATCTTGCTCTTCTCTACCTAAAATGTGTCTGCAATTCAATACTCAGCAAGTAGAAATAAGTTGTTGTGTGTTACCATACCTGTGCTTGTAGGTAGTAAAATCTTGAAACCTATTTTTTGTTTACCTCGGCTCTTCAAGTTTCCCAAATTTAAGATTTTCTTGGAAGAATATACAAAAGTTTTGCAATCCAAAAATTTAACAAGCGAATTGCGGATCTTCGATTTAGTTGTTTCGAGTGCTGTATCATAAAATTCATGATTGCTATATGAAAATCACTTGTATAAATGATCTAATTTAGCCAATAGAGAATGCTGATGAAATTCTCATGATTGCTGGATTTGCAATTACCAGGCCGCCTGTGAAGAACTGCGGAGCAGCAGGTTGTTTATCAAGCTTCTCGAGGCTGTACTAAAGACTGGCAACCGCATGAATGTGGGTACAAATCGAGGCGATGCACATGCCTTCAAGCTTGACACACTGCTCAAGCTAGTTGATGTCAAAGGCACCGACGGCAAGACGACCCTTCTGCACTTTGTTGTCCAGGAGATCATCAAATCAGAAGGTTCCCGCCTTTCTGCCTCCAACAATTCAGCTACGAAAACACAGGCAAATACTTTACGAGATGAAGTAGAGTGCAGGAAGCTTGGTCTCCAAGTTGTCGCTGGCCTAGGGGGTGAGCTGAGCAACGTAAAGAAGGCAGCTGCAATGGATTCTGATGTACTCAGCAGCTATGTCTCGAAACTAGCTGGAGGAATAGGAAAGATCAATGAGGTCTTAAGATTGAATGGAGCATCTGGTTCTGAGGAGAACAGCCAGAGATTCCGTAATGCCATGAATCAGTTTCTAGAGAGGGCAGAGGATGACATTATAAAGGTGCAGGCTCAGGAGAGTGTTGCATTGTCTCTGGTCAAGGAAATAACCGAGTATTTCCATGGGAACTCAGCCAGAGAAGAAGCTCATCCTTTCAGAATTTTCATGGTGGTCAGAGATTTTCTAGCCATCCTTGATCAGGTCTGCAAGGAGGTTGGAAGAATAAATGAACGCACCATTGTCAGCTCAGCACGGCAGTTCCCGGTGCCTGTGAACCCTACTTTACCACATGTATTCCCGATTCATGCATCGAGACCTGAAGGCTCGGATGAGGAGAGCTCATTGTCATCATAGATCTTTTTACGAGTTTTCGACTAGAAGTGCAGCAAACATGGAATCTATTCCAGGTTATTTATAATTCTTTGTGTTCTTAGAATACTAATTTAAGATTCTTTTTTTTGTATTACTATTTTTTCTCTCCTATGTACACACAAAGGAAATCTAGAATAGGAAAAAATAAATTTGGTTTCCCTTCACTTGCATTCTGCAAATCTATGTTCAAAGATTATTTCTCTGAGAAATAGGCAAGTAGTAGCAAACTGCAGGAAAGTGCTGTGTATCAATTCTGTGTCTGAAGTCATCAGAGATCTTACTCCATTCTTATATGAGGAATTGTAAACATGATGTTTTTGCAACTATTCGTATAGAATGATATGGTGAATCTTTCAGTTGGATCGTCCCTTGAGTTCCATTATGATTACACGTAACACTTGCAAAGCTTTGTACAAGTAGGATGATTAAACATCATAGTATGGAAGCTTCAACATGATTTCAGTCATTTCTTTGTGGCCTCTGAGAAGATTGGCTGTGTGGGAATCTTTTGGTAGGTTGTAGCTGTGGGGACGAGCCACACATGGCATTGGATTGCACGCTGGGAACGATAGGTAGTAAAGTATCCAAAGGCTTTCGAGAGAAGCTTTGAAAGCTACAGCAGCTATAGAGCTTGAAGCCAACTTGTACATGAAGAAGAGAAGGAGACAAATGTCTATTTTTGTTTTCTTGGCAAAGAAAATTTATTAGGACTTCAATGTTCTACAAAAATACCATGAGAGATCTGTATACAATATATCAGACAGAGATATGGAGGGAAAGATTCTACCCAAAGAAAGATTAGATTTATCTGGTCTAGCTTTACAAGCAACCCAATTGGCAGCTTGATTGCACTCTCTGAAACAATGTATAACTGTGTCTGAAGTCAGATTGTTAAGTACGGAATCAATCTTTGTTATAAGGAGACAAATTTCTTTGCCATTGAATCCTAAGAGTATTACTCATCCTGCAATAAAGAAACAATGTTGAAGCCACGATGTTTTCCATGGATCCTGTTATTGGTAAGAGTATATAGAAGAATAGATGTTAATCTTACTCCACCCAGAAGATGGTATTTTCTGGGTTTTTGCCATTGAATCCTAATAGTATTACTTATCCTGCAATAAAGAGACAATGTTGAAGCCACAATCTTTTTCACGGATCCTGTTATTAGAGTATTATGGAAGAAAAGATGGAAAGAATCCAATTCGATTCCACATGTACAAAGGAAGGACTGAAGGAAGAATCATGTAACACGAAGAACAAAAAGGAAGAATCCCATTCATGTGCTTGGTGATTGCCTTTCTTCCCATCAAACATCATGACATACAAAGTATCAATAACCTGATCTCAGAAATCATTTACCTGCTTCCTGAACTCTTGTTTGGGAGGAAGTTGGGAAGCAAATGCATGGACACAAAAATGACTTCCAAGTTGGAAGTAGATTATGTTTGATATCTCTGCCCTTTAGGTACGAACACAAGGTCAAATAGGTTGTGTTTCATATTCTTTCATCAAAATGTAACAACATCCTAACTAGACCTACTGAGATGTGTTTGATATCTCTGCCCTTTAGGTACAAACACAAGGTCAAATAGGTTGTGTTTCATATTCTTTCATGGAGATGTAACAACATCCTAACTAGACCTACTGAGACAAGTCCCAATATCCCAAAACTGCATAACCCCAACATGTTATCTGCTGACAAGCATCGGAGTTACGATAGATCAACTACTCAACCACTTTGTGAGGTCCCATTCAGTGACGAGACAAAGGAACAGGGGAAGAGACATCAATAAAACTAGTCTTCTACTCCACCTATGGGCTTTATTCTTGTTTGTCACAGTGACAACCATGCAGATTCTTTTTATTCTTCTATATCAAGTTCCTGATTGAGGAGGCTGATTCTGACTTCTGAAGAATTCGTGGTAAATGACATGTCTTGATTGAGATACAGATCCCACTCTTTGCTGTCATCTCCGACACTACTCGACTCCATCCTCGTCACTCCAGCTCCAGTGTCTTAGCCTAGCAGCAGTCTCCGTGCCAAGATCGAGTTGATCGTGCCTTTTGCTGCCATTATCTTGCTCACTAGCAGTTTCCATTTGAATTCCTCCCTTTTGCTCAGGGATTTCATCTTATCCTTGAAATGACTGCCAGTACAAGATGATGTTATAAAAATATTTATGCGGTTAATTTATAAGGAATAAAACATCATTGTTATTGATGAGCAGCAAACCTGCAGAGAGGAACCTTGCACAAGTCTGGCTCTGAACACATCTGGGAGTGGAGCCTAAGAATCTGCCACATTCTCTTGCAGTGCATGCAACCTCCTGGGACTCGAATTCTGCAGCCTTTGAAGTGCCGAACTAGCGACTCAATCCCCTTGCATGCTGCATATTTGCAGGTGGTTTCGCTGTCCTTCGGCATCTTGTCGTGCGGCCCAATTGTCCTACACCCATCTCTGCATATGTGCAAGAGAGCCTCCATTGCCTCATACAGTTGCATGTACACCTTCCTTTCCTCCATCTTTTTCAGTCTATCCTGCCTTTTCTGCATCATGCCAATATACAATCAGTTTAGCTGTGTCAACAAGACAATGGTTGGGTTGGGGATCCAACTATTCAGCTTTTATCACCCCATTTTGTAGACAGATAATTGACATGTGAAACAATTGGTGGATAAACATATCCCCTTACTGACAAAGACAAAAAGATAAAGAATAAAACAAAGAGAAATGACATAAACATATGATATCGAATCCATATCCAAATTCTGAATGTAAGAAGTAGCTGATGAAGGCCATTCTACGATTCAAACATCTTTAGCATGAAAACAAACAGCTCTAGTAGAAGTATGAATAATCTAAGTACCATTTTGTTCTTAAGAGCCCTGCAACTACTGTTAAGGTCATATTGCATGGAACTATTGGAAACATGCTAAATTCTGCACTCTTGTTTTCAAAACGAACATTCAGAAGGATTCCAACCCAGAACCCTTCATGATTTCATGAAGAAGAGGAAATCAATCACCTGATGGATAACTTCTGCCAGTACTTTGTGTTATTAAAACAAACTTGAACCAATTTTAATACATATACTGCTAGCAATGGAGAAACAAACAGATCATTGTCAGATGCTTAGCAGGATAAGACACCAAAAGAAAAAAAGGCATGCAACAGCATTTAACACAGCAACTCTAAAATGGAACAACAGGAGAGAAAGAACTTACAGAGTCCTCCCCCACAAGAGACTCCAGAAGCTCCTGCTCTAGACTGGGATTTGCTTGCTTCATTGCTTTCCATCCATCAGATAACGAGATGGCCTTAAAATCATTAAGAATCATTTTGGTACAAGAAAGTGAGAGTCGAGGTGCATCACATAGTCTAGCTAGCTGAAGCACATCCACGACATTCTCTTCAGTCAAAACCTCCTGCTCTATTAGCTTGATGCAAGTCCTTTTCAGGGAAGGGATTGCAAATGCATGTGACAGGACAAGCAAGTGAAGAACAAAGTTCTTCATCAAATCAGGTTCACAGCTGCATAATGAATTTAAAAGTGAGATCCAGAGATCATGTATACTTAAAATTTTAGTAAGAAAAAAGAAATACAAAAACCAACCATAGTGCTTAACTTTTACTTCAGGCCATTATTTTCAGCTTGGATATCACAGATAACTATCGGTCAATTTTCAAACTTAAAAAATAATAAACGAAAAGAAAACAAGAAAAACCTAAATACCAGAAATGATGTGACATCATGTGAATGATTCTCATGTATATTCACCTTCTCATCTGTATGAAGCATGATACTGCTTATTTACTAACATTAAGTAATCAGGAGCAACTTATCACAACTATTCCATCCTTGTGGAAGCATGGACGGTTATAAGTTCCGATAGGAACATTTATGTGACACCAATGACAATGAAGGCAGCAAAAAAAAAGAATCCAGACATAATTGCAGAGGAATGAAGAAAAAGGAAAGTGTTGCAGGAATACCATGAAGAGTAGAGAAATCGGATAAATGCACGGGCAGCTTCTGAAGGCACACCTTGTATTGTGATTTTTCTAAATCCTTTAATGACTCTTGCTTGTTCCAATAAATTTCTCAGAACAGGAGATGAGATTCCCTGTCCAATACACCAATCAGTGCATACAATTTAATCTTCGAAACTTAACTAATAGTGTGTTAGCAAACTAAGCAACTTGTTTTCTTCCCTTCATGTAAACAACCCGCTCACTTTTCTCTGTTTATATGCCTTCTCCAGTCTGGAGTCAAATTTTCATTCAGTGGGTTACCATATAGGCCAACTAGAAGACACTAATAATGAGGCCCATGGACAAGACAAACTTTCAACAATTTATCAACAAATATTTAAATATCAAAGTTAATCACTTAATGTTCTGAGATAACTTTTTTCTCAAAAGAAAAAGAAAGAAATAAAGGCGGAAAAAGTTAACAAAAAAAGGAACAGAGTTATGAGATATTTGTTACTGATTCCATATCAGAATCAACTTCCACGATATCTGAAACAAAACATGCATAATTATGTCTTGATCCTTTCCAAGGACATCCTTTTGTCTTTATCACGCTGACACCTAATTATCACAATTAATTAAGAGAACCACCGTATTCTTAATACATGTTGACTATGTCAGTATCTGATTCTCATTAAAAGAATTTCAATATCTTGTTAAATTTCTAAACTCACTTATAAATTTACCTTGATCAAAGTGAATTGGTCCATACTTCAGTTTCTAAGATCACGGAAGTGCTTATTCTGATATATTGACAAAGTAATATCATGCCAATAAAAACTAGGACTGTAGTGTACTCACAAGAATGCTTGAGTGTGCCAAAATTATGTCCTTGTCTTTAGTAAGAACATGGACATCAGCACCATATCCTTCGTAGAAGAGTTTGTCCCAAGCTATCCTTGTTTCGTCAGGGACATAAGTGTCATCCTTCAAACTTTTAGAGCATTTTCTTGCACCATAAGAAGATCCATGGACTGGAGGTGGTTGTGGAACACTACGACCACTATTTAATTGATGTGATCTGCATGCATCTGGCACATTAAAAGTTTTGTATGAAGTGCTGGCCATTGGTAAAGGTTGCTCATTTGAGAAGCATTGTGGCAGATCCAGCTCAAGGCAAGCCATTGACTTTGTTCTTCTCCGACTTCTCCTGAGATGTGCAATATAAGAACTGAAAAAATTCAAGTTGTGTCTGTCAAGATATTCTGCCCTTGCATGATAGAAAATTAATTTTCTAACATCATGCAAGATCAGAAGGTTATTGTGAAAATAAATATTAAATAAAAATATTTCAACAATCATGCTGAACAGGAATCTCCAAAATTATAAATCCACATAATTAAAATTTATCCAAAATAAACAAGTAATCTCAAATCAATTTAAACAAAGTCATGCATGAATCATAACAAAATAGATCAAACATATAAAATTATCATGCAGATAACATGTTTATTATCACATTGTAATAAATCGAATACCTGATGGTGCACTTGTGCAACAATGGGCGGAGAGGTTTTCCTTTGTGGTTTAAGTCCTTTATCCTCCCAACAACAAATAACTCATATCGTACTCCCAATAACAATCAGAATGATATACCCCCCATCAAGGTGGTGATACATTTTTCCTAATAACAACTAGTAATGAATGGAGAAATCGTCTAACCATCTTGTTTGATAGTCTGATAATCTTCTAAAGAAATCACCTTACTAATATGGATTATATGAAACAATGTCCTCACACACACACACACACACACACACACACACACACACACACACA